CTTCTTCACCACTATCCTCATCAGAATTTTCGTAAAGTTTCCCCTTAAAATATCGCCACATTGAAAATTAGGTATTTGTGCAAAAATGAAGTCAAAAAAAAATGTAACTTTATGCACAGGTACCGTTTTAACACTGGAGCCGTACATACACCAGTAAATATATTCCCAATGATTGTTATATTTTTAATGAAAAAATAGGTTAGATAGGATGATATCTATATTACAGTATTACAATAACTAAGAATATATTGTGCGTTTAGTAATCTTACGTCTATGAAATTAAGTAAAATGTGAAAATTTCATTAGCTCATCACACGTATTCTGGCGGAAACCTTCGTGAACTTTTCCGGAACCTTAGGGTTCGGAGAACCCTGGTCGTGAAACGCTGCGTTAGATATACCAGGCTCTGAATTTAATGTAAATTCTGACCATAAAAAAGGCCAAATATGTCTGCGGGTTCAGCATCAACTGAAAGATGACCGCCTCAGCGTCAGGTACATATTTGCTCTTAAGTCGATATCAGTGGCTGTTTCTCAATATTTGAACAGATGTTCGACACAGCTGCTCCTCAAGTGCGCTGAGAAATGTATAAAGAACTATCATCGCGTCCCATTCATTCTCGCAATTCTCCTTCAAAGAAGGCACTAATACGAAAAGAACACAACAACCCGACAAGGATTGACGAAGTCCGGTGTTAAACGAACATTTATTTTACATGTTTTTGTTAGCAATGTGCAAAGAAAACGTTACAGGAGGAATTACACCTTGAAATATGAAACGTCTATATATATATGTGTGTGTGTGTGTGTGTGTGTGTTACTGATGGTCAAATAGACTGTAAAATACACTGTGGATGAATGGCCTCAATGGGAAGAGAATGATTTAAGTTAATACACGATATTATTAAAGAGGAATATGACAGGCATGGCTTTTCTCAGTTGATTTATTTAACATGTTGAGAGAAATAGATATTAGATGACTTGAAAGCTATCATGATTTATTATCGACGGACATAACCTTAAGTAAAATACGCTACGGAGACGAAATTGTATTAATGTCAAATTCGAAAAAAGAAAGGAAAATAACTAAAAAGAAAATCGATGAAAACCAGAAAGGACAAAACGTTAACCATGAGAGGGGAAACTGAATGGTTGCTAGCAGGAAGGGTAATACAGTATCGAATGCATGAAAGAATGACACAGGAATCTGAAGGCACAGAGAAAGAAGGAAAAATCCATTTCATACACTATCTAAAGTATTAGTAACAATCCATCTCACGTACGATTTGCGAAACTTGTTTGCTAAACAGGACGTCATGTCTATCGACAGAATATTTACTCGTATAGATTTAATCTAGTATAAGGTGAATAATGTAGGGCGCCCATATGGGTTAGTATGGACTTCAATGGAGGGCCCACAAGACAAGGGGGACCCTCAAATTTGTTCCCTGATAAAAGTAGAAATTATTAAGATATATAAAAAGAGTCTCCTTCAAACAATTTAAAGTATTTGGGTCTCACTCTGTGGGTCGTTGATTTAATTTAGTCTAACATTACTATTTTCTATCATATCCAGGTATTTAATTTCTGACTGGCAGACAAATCATTATCTTTCATTGAACTCACACTTTTTGTGTCCTGTCACTACGTGGCTAAGGCAGTGGAGAGGGGAATTAACAAAGGTAACTGATAACTGACATCCATTAGACATGGAACGTGGCACTAGAACAGTGAGCGAAATAAAGGTTTCATTTCGACATCCCAACCACCTGAAGAAGGCTGGAGCGTACAACGGCCGAAACGTTGTAATAAATATGGCGACAAAAATGAGTACAAAAGTCCGAATAATGTAAATAGTGTACATAATACCTCATCTCAGAAATATAGCCACATAACCTTTTTTATACTTGAAAATTCATCGTGGAACAAGTTCATGACGACGAGACCGTGAGGATTTTTAGGAATAAATGGCTTTGAGCTACAGAGTATATTGGAGAGAGCCATGATCGCTTACGATTTGAAGAAACACGACACATAAGTAAAAAAAAAAGGATGATATTTAGACATCAATTTTTGTGAGTACCGTTGATCAAGGAAAGTTTTGGAAAGACTGGTTTACCTATAGCTATTTGATAATATCCAAACACAGTAGCCATCACTCATCGTTGTTGTAAGATTTGGCAAAACCTGAAAAACGAGAAGTTTTTTTTTTCTTGGGCAAATGTTCTGCATAAAAGTCGAATAAAGATGTTTGAAGTGAATGTAACGTTTCTTTCTATGCATACAACTAATTACATTTTGTCTACGATTAATCTCACTTTGTAACGTGTTCCATTCGGGATAACTTCACCAAATCAAGTGATAATTTGATAGAGAGAGATTGGGATTAAATCAGTGACATAAAAATATCTCTGTACAAAATCATGAACAGTCATGAAAAGAAGATGAGAGAGAGAGAAGTGTAAAAGTTAGAAGATAAAGTTAAATTACGCTGAGTAGAAAACCTTTGTATATACCTTCCAGGTAGGTTATATAAAATGTCTTTTTAGCAGTCGCTAAAATGTGTTAGCTTACTAAGAAATGCCAAAACACAATTCGGATTGCAGAAAATACATCTTTGTATTTTTGTGCATTGAGTAACACGCAATTTACTTTAGGATTTGATACTAAAATCAATACAGTGACATTTTCCTTGAATTTGTTTGAAAAGCACTACAATAAAATAACCTCGGGGAGACATGCTTGTGTTTCTGTGTTAGCTTTACAGTATCACATAGAATTGGGTGAGGCTTGTACCTTATTCCGAAGTCTGAGGAGGTCAAATAAAATCAGGCCAGAAGAAAAAGTGCAGAATCATCTCATTAAACTTTATCGCCACTGTTGGAAACGGTGTAAATCACAGAGATTGTATATCTATTAAATGGAACCAGTGTTGGGGAAAATACCAGAGTACAATAGTTTACTTTGTCTGTACAAGTTACTAGTTAACAAAATCAATTCTGGTTGGCTTATATAGGAAGAGGTTTACATTTCACTTCACAGATGTGACATTGGAATTTGGACAGTTAAAATCGAAATTCATTCTCTTAACTAAAGCAAATTGACTGGGAACTTGTTAACAAAAAACGAAAAGCGTGATGACACTATATTTCCACATGTAATTCCCACAAAGTGGGGGAAATCCAACACTTTCTGGTGATATTTTGAGACATTGTTTGAACGCTACGTGTTAGGGATAATGGTTTTAACTCGAAATGATGCTTGAACCAATGATCATATATCGAGACCTATCGTGACAGTAAAGCATTTATATCCACAGGATCGTCTCTCTGATTTTACATATAAAATGCCCATCTTCATGTAAGACCTAATTTTTACTACAGTTTTCAGAACATTGCAGACCAATTTACATACACACAGTATGGACATGAATCAACATTGTATGTGAGTGACACTTTCAAACACCCTTTCAAGTTCTTCGTTAAGGACGAATGTTTTGTCATTTACTTAATATAATTTTATTTTATTTTATGTTTTTTGAATAAATGTCGTATGTATTTAGGGTTACTTAATCTTTTGAGCGGTGATTTTGCAGTATGTTGCTGTGTAAGATTTTCTTTTCTGCACCTGGAGTTGAGATCTGATCATATGTTTAAAAATTTAACTGGTTCTGGAAATGAGATAACTCCAGTTTTCTAGTTTATTCAATTTTACCGTTGTCGTAAACTGGTGGATATATTCGATAACGCGATCTAGCTGTGTTTAATTTATTTACACATGATTACATTTCGGATTAATTTGAATTAAAGCGTGCAAAATACTTGGATGTAGTCAATAGAGTATGTCTGCAATACTGAGATATATTTTCAGTTGAATTCATCGAAAACGCTTAACATTTATTTTATATATATATATATATATATATGTGTGTGTGTGTGTGTGTGTTCCAGTATGATGATTGCCTCATACAGAACAATTTACTGAAAACAGAAAAAGACGAAACCATAACAAATATCACAGACAGCTTGTAATCAAACTTGATATAGGTAATATTTTTTCGCTGTGTACTGGCTTCACTGCTACTCTATAACTAATTCAACTAGGTTCTATCTATAATATATAATATTTATATAATATATAATATTTATATTATATATATAATATCTAACATTTCCTCTAACAAAGTAAATGTATTTTGCAATATATTAGATAATTCACGAAATACCTTAAAATTATCATCCAAAATTTATTTTCGGTTTTTGGAACTCGGGCTATAAAAAATGAATAGTACTAATATATCAACATTCCAGTTAAGCATTGGATATGGACGGAATAAATGAACGTTGCTTAGTGATTTTGTGAACTATATACATTCCCCTGCTGCCAATGAACGTTATTCAAGAATGGATTCTGCATTTTGATTGGCGATTTTCATGGTAGACAATTTCTCTCATTTTGTGAATTTATCTCCTAAATTCTCTATTAATATTATGAGAGATTGCATCTAGTAGACAGGTATATATGGGCTTTATTGAAGGCACGTACGTAAATTTTGTATCTATATTTAAAATGTGTCATTGATTCTGAAAAGACATCGAAAATGTTACAAACCTAAAATAGTGGCGTTTTAGTACCCCTCAAAATATTTCAGTTGTCATTTTACACATTCAAACTATACTCTTCTAAATAGTTTGCTTTCGAGATATATATATATATATAAAAGAAAAAAAATCAGGAATAAAGAGAAAAAAACACACGAAGAAACAAGACAATCACCTAAATGAAAGTGATGCAAATAAAAACAGATTAGAAATGCATTAACAAGAATTCAATCCTTTCTATATCCTCCAGAACTGAAATCGCGTTTTAAAGATCGTACAATATGGATGAGATTAAAGAGAACGCATTAATCAAGAGTATAGGTTAAATGTGTAATATGACAACTGAAATATATATATATATATATATATATATATATATATATATATATATATATATCAGTTATTGCGTTGTTTCTTCGTGTTTTTCTCTTTATTCCTGATTTTTCTTTTTTTCTCCTCCTCTTTCTTCTTGTATCCTCCTCCTCTTTCTTGTTTTCTCCTCGTTTTCTCCTCTTTCTTGTTTTCTCCTTGTTTTCTCCTCTTTCTTGTTTTCTCCTCTTTCTTGTTTTCTCCTCTTTCTTGTTTTCTCCTCTTTCTTGTTTTCTCCTCTTTCTTGTTTTCTTCTCTTCCTCCTTATACTTGATTTCTTCTCTTCCTCCTTATACTTGATTTCTCCTCTTCCTCCTCCATCTTGATTTCTCCTCTTCCTCCTCCATCTTGATTTCTCCTCCTCCTCCTCCATCTTGATTTCTCCTCCTCCTCCTCCATCTTGATTTCTCCTCCTCCTCCTTTTTATTTTTCCTTGATTTTTTCCTCTTGTATTTTTCTCGTTTTTTTCTGTTTTTTCTCTGCTTAGATAGGTAGGTATAACATATCAGTGTCATGGTTATTATGTCCACAATCTTTTATTTATTGGCTCTTCTCTCCTTTACAAGGATATTTTCTTATATATTACACGATAGTAATGAGACAAACATATCTGAAATCAATTTATTTAGCACTATAGGATGATCATCGTCAACATGAATAATCATGGAAGAAACCGAATATTTCATAGACTTACACAGGCTTCTTTGTGAAAGCTTCAAAAACTTGGTAGACTTCAGTCTGAGTTACGTTTGCAGAAAATTCTCGGTAAATCATTAACGAATAAATAGTTACTTGTTTGTTTTCTTTAAACGTGGCAAATATTACACTATTCATAGTAAATATCATTAAAAACTTACTTTAAATACTTGTAAACACAGATTTATGTGTATTGACGTAATATTTTCCTTTTAAAATTTTCGAGAAATCAAAGGAAGTTATCTTATGTAAAACTATCATATGCATTCACTATTGAAAAATGTACAGGTTGAAATGTTGTGTGTCTAATATAAAGTTGATAAATAAGAGCTGATGATATAAACTTTCAGCAATGTTTTCATATCAATATTTCTGGCTTTTAAGAATATTTTTATTGAATTCTGATATCTTGAATCGTGTATAAATATGAGCGTATGTGTGTGCGTAATGCATTGTTCATTCTCTTGGAGATTTACAAGACCCAGATATTGTTATTTTGTGGAATCGGAAAAAGCATAAGTAAGATCCATAAATCTATATTTTATATTGTCTGTGCTCGCATTTGTTTTAGTTTGAATGACTGTCAAATGTCTACCTTTGTTTGCGAGGGTGCTCTCCCCCATTCTGCCCCTGTTAAACACACACATATATATATATATATATATATATATATATATATATATATATATAAGTAAGCTAGACTTAGTGCTTGATGAAACCATTTCGGTATGAAACAGTGACAGCATTAAGGTCGGTGTTTCAAATATTTTATACGTTAAATTGTCCTACATTTTCGTTTTTTTAATTGTATTGAGCAGTCTCTTCATTTATCCGTTCCTTTTTAGCAAATATGACTTTTACCAAAAGAATGTATTTATATATATATATATATATATATATATATATATATATATATATATATATATAATATTTTGTGTGTGCGAGCACGGGGAAATCTACCGTCGTCTTCGGCTTATGAAGATGCGACAAAGCAATTTCTAGGACTAATCGCATAGAGTACAGAACTAATTTCAACTCTGAACAAATTTCAACTCGATTTAAGAATTCTAGCCCAACACTTAGTTCCTAGTTGAAATTAATTATGTATCCCATCGCATATATGATTCCATTATAGTGGTGAAGTTTTGCAAGGAATCATAGTATGCCATAAAGTCCCTAAAGAACCCTTCTCTTTTCAAATAATTCAGTTTCTTTCTTCTAGACTAATTAACAGTCACGTAGTGAGACCTTGCCTACCATTCTATTAAAACTATATATATATATATATATATGTGTGTATGTTATATATATATATATATATATATATATATATATATATATATATATATGTGTGTGTGTGTGTATATAGAGAGAGTAATATTCGGTTTGTAAAAAATTCTGATAGCAAAACTTGCAAGTATATCAAAACAAATTTGTAACCGAGGAAAAAATTGGAAAAAAAAGTATGAACTAGCAACATCCGAACATCCTATCTTCTTCAGTCACGTGGTTTTATGCTAATTAGGTTTTAGTGTATTCATCAATAAAAATTATTTCGTGTCATTTCCTCTGTAGCCAGTTTACCCTGAAGATCCGTTTAGGTGAAACCTAGTTAGGTTGTTTCTTACTCTTTCAGATTATATATATATATATCAGAAATGACACATGGATTGTTGGGCAGGTAAGGCTCAAACCTGACAGTAAATATTATACTTTTCATGCGTATGTTTGTGCGCGTGCATATATATATATATATAAAACCATGAGGAGACAGTCTGAAGTTTTAATACAGTCTGAGACCATGTACATTTTACTCATTATGTATTACTCATTATTCAATTATTTGTGTTTTATTATTCCTTTACTTACTGAGGGAGAAGCTCTCAAGATCGAGGAGAGGGTTATTGAAAATTTTAAAATTTGGACCAAAATATACACAATATCTACTGTCAAATTCATGACAAGTGTTCATCTGATCATGTGCAGCTTGTAGCTTATATATATATATGTGTGTATGTGTAATGACTGTGTGCCTGTATGATTATATATGTTAATGTACACTGCTAATAAACATAATGATCGCTAAGGTTCACGCGCTTTCTATACTTTTCTGAGTATCATATGTGAATGCTATCATTTATGGACAATTTTTTTCAAGATTAGTCTTCAATCGTGTTGCCTTTTATCTTCATCCTTTATCTGAAAACTTGAGACAGTCATTATTTGTAATGTTCTTAATGTGTAAAGATTAATAAATAATAATCCTTGGACATGACATCTTCTTTTTATTCTAGATGTTAAGTCTTATTCTCATCATAACTGATTTCGTCTAGTAGATTCTTGCACAGATGCATACGTTAGTTGAAACCCAGTGAGGGAAAGGCAACAAATTATAAATATTAGTCCGTATACATGAAAAGAAAAATCAAGAAAAGATTTAATCAAAAGTTAATTTGAATATAGGCCTACATAAGGAACACGCCAGAGACATTACGTTTCCGATATTTGACGGTATGTTGAAATATGTGACCGTCAAAGAAGCATTTCTCGAGATTCTTAATAAGATCAAAAGAATATTCTTTATTCTTATCCGTCATGAACGGGCATCTTTTCTTTTCCATCAACGTGACGTGGCTTCCCTGTGCCATTTCTATAAATATTCTCATGGCAATTGTTCTAACGAGCTTTCCTTGTTAGTACCTTGACCGTTTGAAATTAGACAGTACTATACTGTTTCATCATTTCTTTTCTGTTGAACCAGATAGATGTAATCGTATATCCTATTGTGATAGTTACTTTACTTTCGCTTTTCGCCTGTGGAACTCATGTCCCTGTAGAAACCAATACACAATAAAACATATACTGACAGAATGCACAAACCTTATACATATTCGAAGAAAGTTCTACAAAATTAAGAGTACAAAGGAACTATTTACAAAAATTGATCCAAGTCATATAATAAACTTCCTGAAAAGAATTGGTCTTTTCTCAAGGATGTACTCTGATGTGTAATTAATATATGCTACCTTTTAACATTGTGCAAACAAATTGTCTATACTAAATAGTAATCCTTGTCCTAGGCAGTAATACCTGGAATTATTTTGCAGTTTGCAAGCAAGTAAGCTCTAGCTTATAGACGTTTACATGTCCTATATATATATATATATATATATATATATATATATATATATAAATATATATTTGGCATTAAATGACCTACAGTGGTTGATATGCCATAAAACCCAACCAACTTGTGGAACTCACTTCCGGTTTTTGTGGAGACGAAGGTGTACACAAGTCTTACCTCAAAAACTAATTGTCGAAAGAAATCGTTTTCAAGATAGGGTTGAATTTGTAGGCGTCGAAATATGGTAACTAATTGCGCTACCCTGTCAGTCTCATGCAATAAAAACCGTTGTTATCCCCATAAAAAAATTACTTTGGACCTCAGGATTGTTTGGCTTCTTCATTTGTGAAGAAGGCAGTTGATTTGGATTTTTGACGCATATGATTTAAGACATTTCAAGTTACGACCTCAACATTTTCTTTTTTCATTTTTTTCAAAACCACATCGTATAACTTTTGTCCGAGCTTTTGGAACAGATTTCTCTGGATATCTAAATATAGTCTAAACTGATGAATTTGGGAGGATTTATAATTACCAGGAAATCTCGTTACAGCTAGTTACTGATTCGTCAATTCAGGGGCAATGGATGGAATTTTTCGCATGCTGCTTATCTTAAACCTGTTGTAGGAATTGTAACTGCCAACTGAAACTGTCAAATATCAGCTTTTAGAGATTCCTTATATTCTATACAACCTGTGTGCCTATTCATTAAAGTTTTCTATTCATAATCTTTACCTCTGTTAACCTTTATTTAACACACATAGTTATACTCTCCCAGGTATGTTTTCCTTCATGTGTGCCTTAATATTATTAAAATAATACATCATATAAAATCTCAGTGTCACCACTGAGAATCCTACAATTATATATACATGTCTAGTGACGTCAGGAGTAGCGTAAAACATTTGAATCGCTGGGGCCCAATATCTTCCGTTACTACAGTGTCTCTCTCCAGTTTCGTTTTGAATTAATTTTTCCTTTTAATAAACTGTGGCTGTCTCCTCAATGCAACAGTACCAATCAGTCATACTATTAAAGCCATAACTGTTGTTTGAAGAAACTAAACACTTGTGCAAATTAACTGAAACAAAACAAATAATTCCATTATTATTTACTTTTTTCGTATTCTTCTAATGAAACATGACCCAGTTTACATGTTAGTACTTCATATGCCCATTCCACGAAGTCGTTCCTTGTAGGGCGGCCACAGATTCTCGATTGGATTTAAATCAGGAGAGTTTCCGAGCCAGTCAATATTACTTTCATTTGCTCACTGGCATGGCTTGCCAGTGTGATTCGAGCAACGTTACAATTTTCGTATGCTTCCTTGGAGTAACGTCCACAGCAGACAATGGCCGCAGGATAACAAATCGACAGTCGAGATAATAAAGTGTTTGGCTGCGATAAAAATCTGATGCAATCACGGATGACGCAATATTTGTCAAAGCCAAACAAATTTAATCATACACCCGAAAAT